CTTTTTGTGAGTTATTTATAGCAAAGAAGAAGATAAAAAAGAATTAAATGACTAAAATAAGTCATAGCAATTAATAAAAGGAGAGAAAAAGGAGAAAAATAAACAATTAGTGTATGAAGAATAAGAGGGTAGTAGTCGTGCGTAGCGGTGGCTTTTGTCATCAAAGTGCTCGAGAGGGTTTATAGGTATATATTTACGGTTTTTAAGCATAAAAATAGTAAAAATATATAATAATTAACGATATAATTAAATAAAGAATAGAAAAAGGAATAAAATAAACATATTTATACCTATGTAGGTCCCTCTAATTTTGCTGTGCAAGGCGACATAATTATACTACAGCAGCAGCAGCAGCAGCAGACGGATGACGCATGTGCAGCAGCAGCCGGTCGAGACCAGCAGCTTATTTTGTTGCATTATGATATAATAAAAGAAAATAAATAAATAAAATAAATAAATAAATAAAAATAATACAATTTATTCACTTAATATGACCCCAGCAACTACAGGATATAACACACCTGCCTATACACCTGAAGGCTGCGGGGTGTATATTGCAGAATTCGACAGAACGGGGGTTTTGAAAAAACCCTCAGAAATAGGAAATTTTCAGATAAAAAAAGGTAAACCCTAAACCCTAAACCCTAAACCCTAAACCCTAAACCCTAATTATTATACAGTATACATAGTATATACAACTCTATATTGTATTTAACCATGACACACAACACTCAACATGACCGACGATGAAACTTCAGCTTTCATACATAAACCCTAAACCCTAAACCCTAAACCCTAAACCCTAAACCCTTAATAACTTCATTAGATTGAATACTTATGGTATATGTCTTCTTTCTTTTGTCATTTTCTTCGTCGCTCAACACACACACACGCACACACACACACACTTCCTCTTGTTTCCTCCAATTGGTAAATTAGGGTTTAGGGTTTAGGGTTTAGGGTTTATATGCAGGCTCTCTCGTCCTTCTTAAGGCTTATGAAGGAACACAAAAAGCAACCGTCACGGGGTGTATAACCACCGACCCCCTTGGCAATAAACACCAATTAGATAGCAGCAGGGATTCATTAGGTCATTATACATTTATATTCAATGCAGAAATACCTGGTAATAAACCCTAAACCCTAAACCCTAAACCCTAATTTATTCAAAGAAAAAGGCGAACAACTTGTTAAACAGTTTTATTCAGCAAAGTTTGTCTACGATTCGCTCCCCTTCCCCTATAATACCTCCCTCCATCTGCCTTCTTCAGGGTTTAGGGTTTAGGGTTTAGGGTTTAGGGTTTGTGGTTTAGGCCCTTACAGGATTCAATTATGTTTTGGTGGAGAATGTTCATCCGGTGGTCAATCAACAGCAACAAGTTCTCCTTGTGGCGCAGTTCGTCAGCTGTCTCCTGCCCAGCCGCAGCAGCAGCAGCAGCAGCAAGAGCAGCAGCAGCAGCAGCAGCAGCAGCAGCAGGAGGAATTAGGCCCCTGTACAACTATTATTGTACAACCTATACTAACAATAAATGGTCAACAAATACCCCCTGAGGGTTTGAGTGTACAGACAGCTCTGTCTAGATGTTTAGGGGGAATAAAAAGATGGTGGAGAATGTAAGAAACCCTAAACCCTAAACCCTAAACCCTAAACCCTAATTTGTGTATACAAGATTGTATCCTTCACCTCAGTACACGAGATAGGCACATCCCTGTATCAGCATCATCAGCAACAACACTACCAGCAGCAACTGCAGCAGCAGCAGCAGCAACAGCAGCAGCAGCAGCAGCAGAAAGAATTAGGGTTTGTTGCTGCTGTGTGGGGTTTAGGTTTCAACATGTAAAGGATATGGGGTATAACATGGTACATTTTACTCCCCTGCAGACAGTAGGGGAATCAGGCAGCTGCTACAGGTAAACCCTAAACCCTAAACCCTAAACCCTAGATTATCAGTTATATATAGTAACTGTAAACACTTGCAGAGAGTCTCTCTTGACCTTCTTTTTGAGTGTTGTAAAAGTCAATTTTTCTGAGGGTTTAGGGTTTAGGGTTTAGGGTTTAGGGTTTAGGGTTTGTGTATTGATTTCAGTTTAGCGAATCAATTAGAGATAGACCCTTTCTTCTTTCGTGATGAACCTGATGAGGAAGGTGCAACAAAAGACAGCAAGACTCCTGCAGCAGCAGCAGCAGCAGCAGCAGCAGCAGAAAGTGGTGCAGCAGATGCAGCAGCAGCAGCAGCAAAAGAAGAAGAAAGTTATAATATTCTTCATGCTGCTGTACAAATGTTAGAAAAAGAATTAGGAATTCTCTCCGCTACTGATCTTGTATTAAATCATACTGCTAGTAATAGTCAATGGTTAAGAGACCATCCAGAAGCAGGGTAAGGGTTTAGGGTTTAGGGTTTAGGGTTTAGGGTTTAGGGTTTAGGGTTTGGGTGGGGGGTGTTGACCTATATATGTATAATATATTTTTTTTTGTATCTTTTCTTTATTCTTCCTTATTTTCTCTTATTCCCTTCACTCTTTTGTTACCTTCTCATTTCTAGGGTTTAGGGTTTAGGGTTTAGGGTTTAGGGTTTAGGGTTTAGGGTTTAGGGTTTGAGTTTTTTTTTTCAGGTATACAATGGAGACAGCCCCCCATTTACGTGCTGCTCTTGAATTGGATAGAAAATTAGATGATTTTTCTTGTTGTTTATATAGAGGAGAATTGTCTGGGGTTTTCGGGTGTACAGGCAGCATAAATAGCGAAGAAGATCTACAAAAAGTTATGCATGCATTAAGAGAAAGGGTTATTAAACCCTTTCTTTTTTCTGAGTGGTTTACGCTAAACCCTGAAACCCTAATTCATCAATGGGAGCAGAAGCTGTGCTCTGTTGATTATACACCTAAACCCTTAAATACACAAACCCTAAACCCTCATCAAGATAAAAGACAAATCCTATTCGAAGCAGTAAGCTAGGGTTTACAACAAGGGTTTATTTATATACGCAAAGGTTTCTCTTGAGGGTTTAGGGTTTAGGTTTAGGGTTTAGGGTTTAGGGTTTAGCTGCGAAGGGTTTACAGCATACCGTTTCCTCTAAGGGTTTACAATTAGTGTTTGGCGCTTCCTCCCTATACTAGTAATTATCTCCCTCCTTGCCATTTTCAGGGTTTAGGGTTTAGGGTTTAGGTTTTAGGGTTTAGGGTTTAGGGTTTAGGGTTTGTGTATATTTTTTTTATAGGCATTAAAAGAGAGCGGGAAGGCTCGTTGTGTAGAGATAAATATAGATATAGATTTGCTGCTGTCTTTGTATCCATCATTAGAGTTTGCTGCTGAGCTGCAGCAGCAGCTGCATGCAGTAAAAGAGCAGCTAATAGCAGCAGCAGCAGATTGTGAATCTGCTGCTGCTGCTGCAGTAGAGGGACTTATACGCTATGAGAGGCTGCAGTGTAAGAAAGGACCAATTACTGCAGAGAGCCCTCTTGTGCCCCGTTACTTTACTCTCCTCAGCCGCAGCAGCAGCAGCAGCAGCAGCAGCAACAGCAGCAGCAGCAGCAGCAGCAACGAGGATTTTATTGCTTTTGCTAACAATGGATGGGTTATGTGCTGGGATGCAACAAAGGACTTTGCTGCTCCTGGCTCATTAGTTTATCTAAAAAGACAATTAGTTGTATGGTCTGATTGTGTTAAACTCAGGTAAACCCTAAACCCTAAACCCTAAACCCTAAACCCTTGGCAGCAAGGTGTATAATATATAGTCCGCATACACATGTATGTTGTTTGTCTTCAAGTCGCCATTTCTTCTTTTCTTTTTAACCCTTTTATTACTCCCTGACACTTCATAAACGACCAGCTAGGGTTTAGGGTTTACTAGGGTTTAGGGTTTATGTTATTTATAATACAGGTATGGATCTTGTCCTGAGGATTCTCCTTTCTTATGGGAGATGATGGGCAAATATTGCAGAAATACAGCAAAAATATTTCCTGCTGTTCGTCTTGATAATTGCCATTCTACACCCATTCATGTTGCTGAGGTAGGGTTTAGGGTTTAGGGTTTAGTAGGGTTTATTAGGGTTTAGTAGGGTTTAGAAGGGTTTATTAGGGTTTAGGGTTTTTTCGTGTTTTCTGATATGAAATATCGAAATTCCATCCTCGTGAAAATTTTCTCTCAAATTCTTCATTTTCATATTTTTAGGCTTTAGGGTTTAGGGTTTAGGGTTTAGGGTTTAGGGTTTTCTAGGGTTTAGGGTTTAGGGTTTAGGGTTTGAAATTTTTTTTTTTTTTTTTTTTTTTCTCAGCATATGTTACGTGAATGCCGTCGTGTTCGGGAAGATATTTGGGTGTATGCTGAGCTATTTACTGGTAATCAATTAATAGATGCATCTTTTGTATCTTTTTTAGGTATAAATGCATTAATAAGAGAGGCATTACAAACAAATACAGCAAAAGATCTTTTATGGCAACTGCAACAGTTTGGGGGTTTAGATCATGTAGGTACACTAGACCCTAGACCCTCATATATGCAGGTACCAGGTGCAGCAGCTGCTGCTGTTGCTGCTGCTCTTCGTCTTGATCCTGCTGCTGCACCTGCTACAGGTGTAACAGGAGGTGCAGCAGCAGGATCAAGTAGTAATAATAATATAACAACTGCAACAGGTCCAGGTGCAGCAGCAGCAGCAGCAGCAGCAGCAGCAGCAGGTGGTGTATTAATGCCATTACCTATGCGTTTATGTCCTGCATTATTTTATGATTGTACTCATGATAATGAGCCAGCAGCAACAAAATTTAATGCTGCAGCAACATTACCATTTGCTGCTGTTGCTGCTGCTGCTGCTGCTGCATGCGGCAGCACAAGAGGCACTGACGAAATTATTCCTTATACTCTTTCTGTTGTAACAGAGAGAAGATTGTATAAGGATTACCATCCAGAGACTCCTATAAGGAACCCTGCTGCAGCAGCAGCAGGAGCAGCAGCAGCAGCAGGAGCAGCAGCAGGAGCAGGAGGAACAGCAGCAGCAGGAGGAAATGCAGCAACAGGAGCAACAGGAAAGAAAGGAAATGCAGCAACAAATGGTACAAATGTAGGAAAGGGTAAGACAACAAATGCAGCAACAGATGTAGCAGCAACAGCAGCAGCAGCAGCAGCAGCAGCAGCAGCAGGAGATGAATGTATAGAAGTAATATGGAGAGAAAAAGGAGCAAAAAAAGTATCAATAAAAGGAGAATGGGATAATTGGAGGGAAGAAATACAATTAAATAAAGAAGGAGATGAATTTAAGGGTTTACTAAACCCTAATATTTATTTTATTAAACAAAATAAACAAATAAATAATATACAATATAAATTTATTGTTGATGGGCAATGGAGGCACTGCCCGTACACCCCAACTATTACTGATGAACACGGAAACACTAATAATATATTAACACTACCAGGACAACAGCCTATTGGTAAACCCTAAACCCTAAACCCTAGCTAAACCCTAAACCCTAAAATCTAAACCCTTCTCAGTCAGCCAGAAACACTCTTCTTCTTCCACCATCCATATTCACCATATGCTGCAACAAACTCCCAAAATTTTCTTGTTCAAGATTTTTAGGGTTTAGGGTTTAGGGTTTAGGGTTTAGGGTTTAGGGTTTGTTGTGATGTATAGGTGGAATTAAGTGGTGTAATAACAGAGGTTCCTTTATTAGCAACCCTGGTGGTAGATGGCGAGGGTTTAGGAGGGTTTAGGGAATCAAGAGAGGAAATAAATGGTATAGATGGGGCTGCATGCATAATGCATGCAGATATATCCTCTATAGGTAAATATATATATAATAAAGAACGGGGTGTATCTACACTACATTTGCATGCATTCCCTCCTGGCTCTGCTGCAGTAGTATTTACGGGTCCTGATGACAGTTTGCTGCTGCAGCAGCTGCAGCAGCAGCTACGTGACACAATAGAGAGAGTGCCGCTGCTGCTAGCAGCAGCAGCAGCAGCAGATATAAATGTATTATTATATAGATGTAACCAAGAAGAAGAAGATGCAACAAAAGGGCAACGGGGTGTATACGCAGTTCCTGGTCATGGACCAATGGTCTACAGTGGTCTAGTAGGTGCAGCAGCAGTATTTGATGCAGCAAGGAGGGAAGCAGCAACACTGCAGCAGCAGCAGCAGCAGCAGCAGAATCCTATATTTACGAATTTACAAGAGGGTTTATGGTTGCTGCAGTATACAACAGATAGATTAGGCAGCAACCCCACCCTTCTCCCGCTGCAGCAGCAGCTGCAGCAGACCCTGCTGCTGCTGCTGCAGCTAAAAGGGTTTAATTGGATACGTCCTTATATAGTAGATAGATTAATAAGTGGGGTGTATGGGCAGCTCGGGGGTCTGCTGCTGTCTCGTCTTCCTGCTGCTGCTGCACTATTACCTCCTGCTGCTGCTGCTGCAGTTGTTGCAGCAAGGAAAGCAGCAACATCAACATCTCCTGGTACACCTAGTGCATCTACTGCTGCTGCTGCTGCTGCTGCTGCATCTGCTGCTGCTGCTGCTGCTGGTATTATTGATCCCCTGCTGCTGCACCTAGCTGTAGCTACACTACAATTCTATGGATATGTACCCTCGGCTCCTCTTGTATGGGGATCGAACGATCCCAGTCTTGCTGCTGGCCTCCCTTTCTTCTCTACTTCCTTCATGAGGAATTGGGGAAGAGATACATTTATTGCCATCAAAGGAAATCTTATCACTACTGGGTACGTCAGAGGGTTTAGGGTTTAGGGTTTAGGGTTTAGGGTTTGGGTATTGGGGTTTGAGGTTTGCTGTTTATGGTTTGCGGTTTAGGGTTTGCTGTTTATGGCTTGCGGTTTAGGGTTTGCTGTTTAGGGTTTGCGGTTTAGGGTTAGGGTTTTGCGGTTTAGGGCTTGCGGTTTGGGCTTTTTGGGGTTTTAGGGTTTTCTAGGGTTTAGGGTTTAGGGTTTAGGGTTTGTGTGTATATGCAGTCGTTTTGCTGAGGCACGTCGTGAGATATTAGGGTATGCGCGTGTTCTTCGTCATGGATTAATCCCCAACTTATTAGATTCAGGGAATAACCCTAGATATAATGCAAGAGATGCTACTTGGTTCTTTATGCAGGTATATATATAAACCCTAAACCCTAAACCCTTATTTTCTATCGCTTATACATAGATTCCGTTAATAAGGCCTTTGGGGTTAGGGTTTAGGGTTTAGGGTCTAGGGTTTGTGGTGTATTATCTATGAGGATTTGTTGGGTCCGTGTGGAGTTGGGAACAGGCTAGGGTTTAGGGTTTAGGGTTTAAGGTTTAGGGTTTGTGTGTATAGGCAATTCAAGACTATTGTGCTGCAGCTCCTGAGGGTTTAGGGTTTTTACAAACCCCCGTAGAAATAAAGTATGGAGCGCATGCATCGCAACTACCAGAGAAAATAAATAATATAGCTGATGTTATGCATCATATTCTTGCTTCCCATGCCAAGGTAAGCTAGGGTTTAGGGTTTAGGGTTTAGGGTTTAGGGTTTGGG